AAATAAATAAATAAATAAATAAATAAATAAATAAATAAAAATACAAAAATTAGCCAGGCATGGTGGCATGCGCCTGTAGTCCCAGCTACTTGGGAGGCTGAAGTAGGAGAATCACTTGAACCTGGAAGGCAAAGGTTGCAGTGAGCTGAGATCGCACCACTGCACTCCAACTTGGGCGACAGAGTGAGACTCTGTCTCAAAAAAATTAAAACAAAAAATAAATAAAAGTTTACACTATCATTTTATTCTGGAAATCTTAAGAATCTGTAACAATTCTGTCTGTCCAAGGCAGTTTAGAACCACAAGTGTGCTGCTTATATGCCCTGCCCCCACCCGGCAGACGTTTCTCAGCAGTCGCAGCAGGACTTAGCATCTCTGGTTCATCTCTTTCCAAGGGCTCCAGGTGAGGGTCTTTCAGTCTCCTGGGTCTGCGAAAATATTTCCTTGTTTACTCATCACGGCGTGATGTCATTTGCACTTGGAGATGTGGGATGCAGAATATCTGCCTGCCTCCAAAGCAGACCCGTCGGACATGGGGAAGGCTTTGGTTGAAGGTGGCCCCTTGTCAGCAAGACCCTTATGCCACTCAACAAGCATATATGTGACGAGTGCCCATTCTGGGTCTGTGCCGCCAGGAGAGGGTGGGAGGGGGGCAGGTGTGGAGGGGCGGCACAGGAACAGGGCATTCGTCTCAGAACACTGCAGTCTGGCAGGAAGGTAGAAGCAAAACCAATAGTATTAAGCCAGGGTGGCCAGTGTCATGTAAAAATGCAGGGCAGGAGCCCCTTATCCTGAGCAGGGGAGCTAGGGAGGCAGGGTACACATGTCCTGGGAGGCGGGGAGTTTTCCAGGGGAGGAGAAAGGTTGCCTCTCTGAGACAGTCAACAAATGTGCAGACCACAAATGTGGATGAGCACACCGTGGTCAGGGCCCAGGAGACCACGTGCACCGTGCACAACACAACTCTAGGGGGCACGTGATCATCGCGCAGGGTTAACTGGCTCAGTACGCTGTCAGCATGTAGACATAATCTCACTTCTGAATTTAATTGAATGCGTGAGTTAACTCACAGAGTTCATAAGTATATTTTGTGAATAAGTGAGATGATACATAAAAAGTCTTTTTTTTTTTTCCTTCGGAGATGGAGTTTCCCTCTTATTGCCCAGGTTGAAGTGCAATGGCATGATCTCAGCTCACCACAACCTCCGCCTCCTGGGTTCAAGTGATTCTTCTGCCTCAGCCTCCCAAGTAGCTGACATTACAGGCATGCCCCACCACACCTAGCTAATTTTGTATTTTTAGTAGAGACAGAGTTTCTCCATGTTGGCCAGGCTGGTCTCAAACTCCTGACCTCAGGTGATTCACCCACCTCAGCCTCCCAAAGTGCTGAGGTTACAGGCGTGAGGCACTGTGCCCAGTCATAAAAAGTAGTCTTTTAGTTCCTTGAGTGAAAAGTAAATTCAAATGTTACTTTAGCATTTATATTATATGTGTCAGTTATCTATTGCTGTGTAACAAATAGCTCCAAAACATAGTGACTTCAGAAAACAATCATTTGGGCCAGGTGCAGTGGCTCATGCTTGTAATCCCAGCACTTTGGGGTATGAGGTGGGTGGAACACCTGAGGTTAGGAGTTCAAGACCAGCCTGACCAACATGGGGAAACCCTGTCTCTACTAAAAATACAAAATTAGGCCGGGTGTGGTGGCTCACACCTATGATCCTAGTACTTTGGTAGGCTAAGGTAGGCAGATAACCTGAGGTCAGGAGTTTGAGAGCAGCCTGATCAACATGGAGAAGCCCCATCTCTGCTAAAAACACAAAATTAGCCGAGCATGGTGGTGCATGTCTGTAATCCCAGTTACTCGGGAGGCTGAGGCAGGAGAATTGCTTGAACCTGGGAGGCGGAGGTTGCCACGAGCCGAGATCACACCATTGCACTCCAGCCTGGGCAACAAAGGCGAAACTCCATCTCAAAAAAAAAAAAAATTAGCAGGGCAAGGTGGCTCATGCCTATAATCCCAACTACTCAGGAGGCTGAGGCAGGAGAATCGCTTGAACCCAGGAGGCAGAGGTTGCAGTGAGCTGAGATCTCGCCAAAGGCACTCCAGCCTGGGAAACAAGAACAAAACACTGTGTCAAACAACAACAACAACAACAACAAACCAATCATTTATTTTCTCCCACAGTTTCCATGGGTTGTGAATTTGGGTGGCTCTGGCTTACCATCTTTCATGAGTTGTAGCCCAATGTCAGCTGGGACTGTAGTTATCTGAAAGCTCAACTAGGGCTAGAGGATTCATTTCCAAGGTTGGCCCTCTCAAGTGGCTGGCAAGTTGGTGCTGGCAGTTGGCTGGGAGCCTCAGTTCCTCTCTCCATGGGCCTCTCCTCGGGGCTGCTTGAGTACCCTCCCAATATGGCGACCAGCTTCCCCCCAGAGCAAGTGATCCTAAAGACCAAGCAGAAGCGGCAATGCCTCTTATAACCTGGCTCTGCACACACTGTCCCTTACACCATATTTACTGGTCATTTCGGGCAATCCTGATTCAGCATGAGAGGGGACCACACAAGGCCTGAGGGACACCCAGGGGCTGGCTCACTCTGCACTCATACCAAGCTCACCCTGGCTGCCCTCTATTCCAGCTCTCTGCATTTCGTACTCTCCTGTTTTCTGCACTTGGTGAAGAGGAGAAGATGATGGTGAACAACTATCGCCCTCTTCAACCCCTGATGAACCGGAAGGTCTGGGCATCCTTCCAGACCACTAATGAGGGCACAAGATCCTTGAGACGTTAGGTCCACATGAATAGCAGAACTGACTTTGAAAGAAGGAAGTGTTGTTTCCCAGGTTTCACAATGTGATTGTACGTGACTTCTGAAATTAAAAAGAGAGAATGGGGTTATTGCTTTAGTTGATACACTCTTCAGCTGCAAGTGAAAGAAAGATGTGTAAGTACCATAGGGAACATAACGCAGGATGGAAGCGTGTGTCATGGCACCCAAGGCAGGTGCAGGGTGCTTAGTTTCACTGTAACAAAGTACCACAAACTTGGTGGCTTAAAACAACAGAGATTGATTCTCTTATGGTTCAGTGAGTCAGAAGCCTGACACCAAGGCGTCCGCATGGCTGCTTCCTTCTGAGGCTCTAGGGGAGGATCCTTTTCCTTGCTTTTACAGCTTCTGCCTCCTCCTTGTGAGAACTCCTGGCCGGGCATGGTGCCTCACGCCTGTAATCCCAGCACTTTGGGAGGCCAAGGCGGGTAGATCATGAGGTCAGGAGATCGAGACCATCCTGGCCAATATGGTAAACCCTTGTCTCTACTAAAAACACAAAAATTAGCTGGGTGTGGTGGTGCACATCTGTAATCCCAGCTATTTGGGAGGCTGAGGCAGGAGAATCGCTTGAACCCGGGAGGCGGAGGTTGCAGTGAGCTGAGATCATGCCACTGCACTCCAGCCTGGG